TGCCGCCACCACACATCAGGACTCAGGGTGGACCCAGCCTCCACTCAGAGGTGCCCTGCTGCCCGAGGCTGTGGGAGACAGCTTTCATGTTCAAGAATGGGGTTTATTTCAGCACCAGGGTGCTTTTTGGTTTTTTTTTTTTGTTTGTTTGTTTGTTTTGAGACGGAGTTTCACTCCTGTTACCCAGGCTGGAGTGCAATGGCGCGATCTCGGCTCACCGCAACCTCCGCCTCCTGGGCTCAGGCAATTCTCCTGCCTCAGCCTCCTGAGTAGCTGGGATTACAGGCACGCGCCACCATGCCCAGCTAATTTTTTGTATTTTTAGTAGAGACGGGGTTTCACCATGTTGACCAGGATGGTCTCGATCTCTTGACCTTGTGATCCACCCGCCTCGGCCTCCCAAAGTGCTGGGATTACAGGCTTGAGCCACCACGCCCGGCCCAGGGTGCTTTTTAATATGCAAATCTGAGGTGTTTCCTGCTAGAAGAGAGGACTGTGCAGATGACCACATGCAGATGATGCTGAGCCAGGAGCCTGATGACAGCCTCGTTGGTACACTCTGGTCAGCAATTTCAACAAGCACTATGAAGAGCTGAAACCTGTGTTTTTAAACTCCTGTGTTTTGGGAATTTAAAGAGGGGAGAAAATCACAAAGATCATTTCTTTTTTTTTTTTTTTTTGTTTTTTGTTTTTTGTTTTGAGACGGAGTTTCGCTCTTGTTACCCAGGCTGGAGTGCAATGGCGCGATCTCGGCTCACCGCAACCTCCGCCTCCTGGGCTCAGGCAATTCTCCTGCCTCAGCCTCCTAAGTAGCTGGGATTACAGGCATGCACCACCATGCCCAGCTAGTTTTTTTTTTTGTATTTTTAGTAGAGACGGGGTTTCACCATGTTGACCAGGATGGTCTCGATCTTTCGACCTCGTGATCCACCCGCCTCGGCCTCCCAAAGTGCTGGGATTACAGGCTTGAGCCACCGCGCCCGGCCACAAAGATCATTTCTAAGCTCAAACTTACTCTACATCAGGCGTCCCCAAACTTTACACAGGGGGCCAGTTCACTGTCCCTCAGACCGTTGGAGGGCCGCCACATACTGTGCTCCTCTCACTGACCACCAATGAAAGAGGTGCCCCTTCCTGAAGTGCAGTGGGGGGCCGGATAAATGGCCTCAGGGGGCTGCATGAGGCCTGCGGGCCGTAGTTTGGGGATGCCTGGTCTACATGATAGTTTCCATCCCAAGGGCAAAACTAAATGTCCAATTTTCAAGTCTCTTTCCAAATTAAATGTTCAGAATACTCTTGGAGGTGAGAATGGCAGGGCAAAGTGTTCGTTATGTCTAACAGTAAATTTAAAGAAAAAGGAGTACTTTAGGCCGGGCGCGGTGGCTCACGCCTATAAACCCAACACTTGGGGAGGCTAAGGTGGGCAGATCACAAGGTCAGGAGATCAAGACCATCCTGGCCAACATAGTGAAACGCTGTCTCTACTAAAAATACAAAAAATTAGCCGAGCATGGTGGCAGGTACCCTGTAGTCCCAGCTACTTAGGCTGAGACAGAAGAATTGCTTGAACCCAGGAGACAGAGGTTGCAGTGAGCAGAGATTGCGCCACTGCACTCCAGCGTGGGCGACAGAGCAAGACACTGTCTCAAAAAAAAAAAAAAAAAAAAAAAGGAGTACTTTACTGAATGGATAGGTTTCTGAAAGAATCAAAGTATCTTTTATAACACCAAGCCCTCAGTAATGCTAAAAGTAGTTATGGACAAATAACCCAGTATTTGTGAGAAGTTAAATAAAGATGTCAGGCTGGGCGTGGTGGCTCACGTCTGTAATGCCAGCACTTTGGGAGGCCGAGGTGGGCGGATAAAGTCAGGAGTTCGAGACCATCCTGACCAACATGGTAAAACCCCGCCTCTACTAAAAATACAAAAATTAGCAGGGCATGGTGGTGCTCGCCTATAGTCTGAGCTACTCCGGAGGCTGAGGCAGGAGAATCACTTGAACCTGGGAGGTGGAGGCTGCTGTGACCCGAGATCACGCCATTGCTCTCTAGCCTGGGCGACAGCAAAGCTCCTTCTCAAACAAACAAACAAAAAAAGATGTCATATACCAGAAAATGAGATTATAGCTGCACCCTGAGAATTTATCTTATTCATCTTTGCATCCTTAGACTCCAGAACCTACAGGAACACAGAAGACACTGAACAAATCTTTTCATAGTGGTTTCTAAGCTCCTTTTCTTCCAGGATTAGATCACAAGTGATCAAATATACAAAGCCTTCGGGGTTACGATCAAAGGCTTCCTGCAGTTTTCTAACCCTGGAAGACCTTATTTGGTAGTTCAACTTATATTTTACATTCTACAAATTATATCAAGAATACATACACTGTTTGAGGCCAAATAAAAAACAAGTAATAAACATCTGTTTGGGCATCTATTGCAAAAGGTGGTTTTTTTTTTTTTTTGAGACAGAGTTTCACTCGTTACCCAGGCTGGAGTGCAATGGCACAATCTCGGCTCACCGCAACCTCCACCTCCTGGGTTCAGGCAATTCTCCTGCCTCAACCTCCTGAGTAGCTGGGATTACAGGCATGCGCCACCATGCCCAGCTAATGTTTTGTATTTTTAGTAGAGACGGGGTTTCACCATGTTGACCAGGATGGTTTCGATCTCTTGACCTCGTGATCCACCCACCTCGGCCTCCCAAAGTGCTGGGATTACAGGCTTGAGCCACCGCGCCCGGCCAAAAGGAGGGTTTTTAAAAGCAGAGACAGGCCAGGCGCGGTGGCTCACACCTGTAATCCCAGCACTTTGGGAGGCTGAGGCAGGCGGATCACCTGAGGTTGGGAGTTTGAGACCAACCTGACCAGCATGGAGAAACCCCATCCCTACTAAAAACACAAAATTAGCCAGGTGTGGTGATGCATGCCTGTAATCCCAGCTACTCGGGAAGGCTGAGGCAGGAGAATCACTTGAACCTGGGAGGCCGAGGTTACGGTGAGCCGAGATTGTGCCATTGCACCACTGCACTCTAGCCTGGGCAACAAGAGTGAAACTATCCTCTCAAAAAAAAAAAAAAAAAAAAAAAAAAAAAAGAGAGAGAGAGAGAGAAAGAGAGACTATAGAATGGGAATCCAGGAGTCTAAAAGTAAAAACACTGCCTCTTTAGGTGTTGCTTCTGTAGTAAAATCCATCAATTGCTTATTTATGACTGTTTTCTTCCAAGTTGCTTAGAAAGCTTCTATTTTTTCTGATTGAGAAATTTAGTCATGTGGAATCAGAGCTGTGATTATAGGAACACACACTAACCTAGTGAGAATCAAAAACAGGAAGGTGAGCCTTTCCTATCTGAAAAAAAAATCTACAAATCTTCCAAATATGGTTGGTATTCCCATAGGCATGTAATGAAATTCTGTAGCCCAGTCAGACTCAGACACTTAGTGGCTACCTTCCTTCCTTCCTTCCTATCCTCCTTTTTAAGCAGATTGGCTTGGCTGGTCATACTCTATTGCTGGTTTTGCCCAATTCCATAACCACCGCCTCTCCCATGTGTGTGAAGGCACATCCTCATGGACATTGCTACTGTTCTTTCCAGTGACAATCTATTTTTCATGGTGGAAGACGAGCATTTTGATGTTTTAGGAAATGATTGAGCTAATTCTAAAAAGAATGTGTGAAGGAAAAGTTATCTCCCTGAGATGAGTGATTTAAAGAAATAAGATGGGCTGTAGTCTCAGCTACTCAAATGGCTGAGGTGGATTACTTGAGCCCAGGAGTTCAAGTCTAGCCTGGACAACACAGCAAGATCCTGTCCTTTAAAAAAAAAAAAAAAAAAAGGAAAGGTAAGTTCTCTGTACACTGTCTTACAATGTGGCTGAGATGTGGCTCCAACTTGGAGAAAGAGAGTAATTGCCATCTTTCTACACCGGACAATCAATACTACATAGGATGGATTTAAATACACATACCCCACGTACCCTCTTCAGAGGAGAAACTTACCATGAAAGATGCAACACATTTGGAATCCTTAAAGAAATAAGCTAGTCTAGATTAGGGATCCCTCAAGAATGCTTTGAATCACAAATTGCTATTCAGAGGGCTCTGCTGTAGCTGTGCTTTCTCAAGGACAATACCCACACTGCCACATGTCTGAGAGAAGGAAGTTTCACGGAAAAAATGAACTGAGATGATAGAACCTACTACTGTAAACCCCATTTTCTTTGCATAGCTCTTAATTTTCCTGTCTGACTGCCTAATATAAGCCAATTTTAATTTAAACTCAGGTTAGTACTAGCACACTACTCTTGAAGCTAGTTTCTTATAAAAAAAATATCCTGGGACAGAAAACAAATATTCTAAACTCCACAGAGAACTTTAAACCATATCAAATCATATGATAGATTGGGGAAAAAAACAGCAGGCAAAAGAGGGAAAAGCTGGGCCCTGCTCAGCCACAGGAGGAAAATCAGTTTCTCACAAACTCTTCTGGTCTGATCAGCATGGCTACGGGCTCTCTGCGGTAAAGAAGGTTGTGTCCCCGCAAGGCTTCGTCCAGAGGTGCTGTGGGCCCACAGGCTGATGGCTGTTTGTGTGCTTTGCCTGACTGAGCTGCCCAGAGCCTAAACTCCATGGTAGCTGCAGCAGGCACCTCCACTGCCCAGTTCACACAAAGTTACATTGAGAGGAAAGGTAACACAGGCAGAGACCACAAAGCACCCAATGTGGAGCTGGTGAGGATAACCTGAAACTCCTCCTTGACATTATTAGCTCATGAAATCCCCTTCGCTGCTGGAGGCCCCTTCTCTTTCCTCTTGGCAGTTGGTTCTCCTTCTGCCCTCAGGTTCTCCCACAGCTAAATTATGGCTTTCCTCAAACTCTTGCTTTCTGTTGATACAACTAGTTCATAACTCATGAATCACCAACTTTTGGCTATTAGTTCAAATTCTGACCTATAGTGTAGCAAAAGCAAAAACAAAAAACCAGGACAGAAAGTGCTTCAACAGCCATTTTACTCTTCTTTTAATTCTGCTGTCTTTGGGCATACATTTCATTTGCTATGGAAATGGTCTGACAGCAGGGCTGACAGCACTGATTCATAACACATTCTTTTCATCATACAAAGAGTAAAACCCTAGAATAATAGGATCATCTGCTACCACAACAGAGCTGCCTTACTGGCTGTAGAATAGGACTGCTTGTGTGGGAGTGAGAGAAGAATGAGGACAGAGGAGGCATCTGGGGCAAGTGAACTTACAAGTATGTCAACAAATTCAGAATTTGGTGGAATATCCAAAATTGACTTCAGGATGATAGAGAATCGATGGGAAATAGTTCTGTGATTTCCAAAATGTATTAAATTTGGAACCTGAGGTTAACACTTTTAGGATAAAGCAACCTCAGGTTCAGACTGGCCTTGGGAAGAAATGGCAATCACAGATGGTAATGAGTGTCAGTGCTTGAGAACAAAAATTGCCAAAGTCAATCTACACATCTGACTTGACTCAAAAAGGAGGGGAAACGAGTCTCATTTGAAAAGGATGAGTCTGCAGCAAAAAGTCAAAGAGAAGCTGGAGCCCCTGCCCACCTCTCCATTCCACTGCTGGTGCCTGCTCTTCCTCACAGTACCTCCTGAAAAGTTCCAAATTCAGTTAATACAGATTTATTGGGTTGATTTTCAACATGTAGTTTAAGATGAAGAGTTCCGTTTGGTTTAAACCACTTCACCTAACCTCTTGGTAATAGTAGTCCTGAGAGTCCGCAGTCTTGGTGAAATCTTCCTGCAACCAAGGGAAAGCTGCTGACGGAGCACAGCAACTTCCGGGCCCATCAAGTCTCCTTGACCTTGTCCCTCAAATCTGGTAGTTTCTGCACCGAGGGACACAGTTCACTGCGATGAAGTATGTTCAAAATTGTTTTCTATAGGCACCTCCTTCCAATGTCCAATACTGCAGGCGGTCAGGAAAACTTGGAAGGAAGCTGCAAAAGTCCAGCCGGGAGTCTTGACTTTGTTAAATGTGGACACAGGAAAGTCACCTTTGCACTCCCCAGATTTTGTTACAGTCAAAGGAGAAACATTCATGGGATTCTAACTGCAAATATACTAGATATAAAATTGATGGAATGCTAACTGGTCCATAAAAGGCTGTACAAGATAATCTGTGGCAAAGTAGAAAACAAGCCCAAAGGTGATAGAGATTGGAAGAGCTGGCAATGCTTTCTTGAAAATGGCGAGGAGTAATAATGTAAGGCACAAACCCTGTGGAGAAGATGGAAAAGACACACATTCACACATAATTATGAAGACATTTTCAGGTAAAATGCAATCACAAGTCTTGATTTTTAACATGGTTAACTGAGTATCTTCCTTCAGGGTTAAATTTTAGAACAGACATTTCATTAAATCTGGAAGAGCTATGAAAAAAAACTTAGCTTTTGTTCATTTCATAGGGTCCACTATGTTATTTTATTCGTTCACATTATTTTATCCACTAATTCTAGGAAAGAAAATCTGAAAACAGGGGGGCGGGGTAAAAAAAAAAAGAAAATCTGAAAATAAGTAAAGCTATTTTGAAAAACAGTTAAAAGATGCAGAAATTTCTATCTTAAATACTGTGTTGGCCTCTGTGATTTTAGTTTGGCTGGTTAAAAACCCAGAGGTGAAGAGCATTCATTATGCTGTGCAGGAGCATTCTGCCCGCGCAGGCTCCTCCGTGAAACACGGCGAGGTTACAATGTTTAAAAAATAAAATAAAATAACAGTTTATTTATGAGGAGTATATTGCTTTCTTGTAAACACAGAGCAGCATATAATAGAGTTCATTTTTTACCCTAGTTACTGAAACACTAGAAAGTCTGGAGGCTAGGTACCATTTCAGTTTATTCAGAGTAAGTAATTTTCTTATGAGATACAACACATAAAAATAAATACTTTCGGCCGGGTGCGGTGGCTCACGCCTATAATCCCAGCACTTTGGGAGGCCGAGGTGAGTGGATCACGAGGTCAAGAGATCGAGACCATCATGGTCAACATCGGTGAAACCCTGTCTCTACTAAAAATGCAAAAAATTAGCTGGGCATGGTGGCACGTGCCTGTAATCCCAGCTACTCAGGAGGCTGAGGCAGGAGAATTGCCTGAACCCAGGAGGCGGAGGTTGCGGTGAGCCGAGATCGTGCCATTGCACTCCAGCCTGGGTAACGAGAGTGAAACTCCATCTCAAAGAAAAATAAATAAATAAACAAATAAATAAATACTTTCAAATCCAGATAATGAACCTCAAAGGAGAAGTAAAACACATCAAAATCATGATAAACCCCAAATGTAATCACAAAATGAATGCAAAAGCAGTCTTCTCCACCTTTCATCTAATTTCACTCATATACTAGATGTCAAAGGTATCACATTCTTTTTTTTTTTCTTTTTGAGATGGAGTCTCACTCTGTCACCCAGGCTGGAGTGCAGTGGTGCGACCTCCACTCACTGCAACCTCCACTTCCCAGGTTCAAGGGATTCTCCTGCCTCAGCCTCCTAAGTAGATGGGATTACAGGTGCACAGCCACCATGCTCGGCTAATTTTTGTGTTTTTAGTAAATTCGGGGTTTCACTGTGTTGTTCAGGCTGGTCTCAAACTCATGACCTCAGGTGATATGCCCATCTCAGCCTCTCTAAGTGCTGGGATTACAGGTGTGAGCCACCGCACCCGGCCAAGATATCACATCTTTAGTAAAAATAGCAGTAAGAAATATTTTATGGGTCATTTACTTAAATCATAGTTTTGAAGTTGGGTGCAGTGACTCACACCTGTAATTCCAGCACTTCGGGAGGCTGAGGCGGGCAGATCACTTGAAGATGGAGTTTGAGACCAGCCTGGCCAACATGGCGAAAACCCATCTCTACTAAAAATACAAAAATTAGCCAGGTGTAGTGGCACATGCCTGTAGTCCCAGCTACTTGGGAGGCTGAGACAGGAGGATCACTTGAAGTTGGAGACAGAGCTGAAATCATGTCACTGTACTCTAGCCTGGGTGACAGAACAAGGCTGTCTCAAAAAAAAATAGTTTTGAAAGCTTCAGGGTTCATGCTGTATGACTATTAGCAAGATCTATGTGGGGTTATGCACGGCACTAGCTCCTCTCACGGATCTATGTGGGGTTATGCACGGCACTAGACACTTCCTGTCTTAAGCAACACTGTATGCTATAGGCTGTGTCATTAAATGCAAAACCACCACCAAACTCTCAGTGACTAAGTCCCTGGGACTAAGTGAGGATCTGTTTACCCCTGGAAGACTGACCTTGCAGAGCTAATTTCCTACATATCTGTGCTGCTGGGCTTGAGGCAGTGGTTCCTACACAGAAATATTTACCAGAATTTCCTGGGGGAACTTTTTAAAACTACACAATTAAATAAGAATATCTCAGGGCAGAGCTTACAGTTTTAAAAGCTCTCAAGTGACTGCAATGTGTACTGAGGTTAGATCCAATTATCAAAAAGCTCCTCAGATAATTGGAACATTTAACCCACCTGGGGTTAAAACAGAACTGCCTTAAAGGGACTGTGTAATTGGAGTTTTGACATTAGGAGTTCAGACACATTCTTAGGAGTGTACACTTACAATTAATATGGCTACAAAACAGGCTATGGTTGTGTTCCAGTCTCCACTGGCTGTTGCTGAGGCTTTACCAACCAGAACACTGTAGAAAATGAAATCTCCCAATCCAAGTTTTACTCCCCCTAAAAAGGAAAGATTACAAATATTAAAAAGTTGGTCATTCTTTGCTATGATTTCACAATTCAAAAATATCACTGCCCTACTCAACCCCACAATGAATGAGAAAAGTCAGTAAATGATACACAAAATTAGGCTTTAGCTGGGTTTTCTTTCTTTTTGGTTTTCTACCACAGGAGTTCCAGATTCTATATGACTGTCTCTGGAGTCTTAACTATAGATGCTGCCATTTATCAATAAGTAATAACTGTCATCTATTGAATGTCTAGTTTATACCCAGCACTTGTACTAAGAAATTCTTAGAAGGATTCTTATGAGATAGGCATCACTTTATCATCTTATTTTTAAAAAAATAGCTTCACTGGGCTATGATTTATGTCATAAAACTTTAAGAGACAATTCAATGATTGTGGAATATTTACAGAGTTGTACAACTATCATCACAATCCACATGTCCATCACCCCCATCAGGCACCTTGTACCTGTTTACAGTTAATTCCCCTCCTACCCTAGGTCTTAGGCAACCACTGAACTGTTTTCTATCTTAATAAATTTGTCTTTTCTACACATTTCATATGACTCATACAGTATGTGCCTGGTCTATTTTACATAATATAATATAATATAATATAATATAATATAATATAGAACATAACGCTTTTGAGGTTTATCCATGACATTGCATGTGTCTATAGTTTCTTCCTTTTTATTGGAAGTTACTGGAAGCTGAATGGTTTTCCATTATATGGTTTGTTTATTCATTTACCAGTTGATGGACATCTGGATTGTTTTCAGTTGGGGGCTATTCTGAATAATGCTGCTATGAACATTCATGACCATGTCCCTGTGGGAACAGATTCTTTTCATTTCTGTTGGGTAGACTCCTGGGAGTGCAACTGCTGGGCTATGTAAGTCTAGGTTTTTAGCTTTTTGATAAACTGCCAAATCATGTTCCACACTGGCTGTGCCAGTTTGCATTTCCACCAGCAAAGATTGAGAGTTTCAGTTTCTTCACATCCTCACTAGCACTTGGTATTGTTAGTCTTTGGATTCTAGCACGCTGATTAATGATGATGTTAAGCAGCTTTTTATACGCTTATTAGCCATTAAATATCTCTTTTGGTGAAAATGTCTAGTCAAAGCATTTTCTTATCTTAAATTTGGGCTATCGTCTTCTTATTAAGTTGTAAGCATCCTTTATATAAATCTTAAATACCAGTCCTTTGGCCGGGCGCGGTGGCTCACGCCTGTAATCCCAGCACTTTGGGAGGCCGAGGTGGGTGGATCACCTGAGGTCAGGAGTTCAAAACCAGCCTGGCCATCATGGAGAAACCCCATCTTAAAAAAAAAAGAAAAGAAAAAAAAGGAAAAAAAGAAAAAGAAAAAGAAGAAAAAAAAATACCAGTCCTTTAACAGGACTTCAATATGATTGCAAATATTTTCTCTCAGATGATAACTTACTTTCCTTTTTTTCTTTTTTTTTTAAAGTGATCTCGCCCCACTGCAACCTCTACCTCCTGGTTTCAAGCAATTCTCCTGCCTCAGTCTCTTGAGTAGCTGGGATTACAGATATGCGCTACCACGTCTGGCTAATTTTTATATTTTTAGTAGATATTGGGTTTCAACAGGTTGGCCAGGCTGGTCTCAAACTCCCAACCTCAGGTGATCCACCCACCAAGGCCTCCCAAACTGCTGGCATTACAGGCATGAGCCACCACACTTGGCCTTGTTTCTCAATGGCATTAAAAAAATTTTTTTTTGGCCAGGTGCAGTGGCTCACGCCTGTAATCCCAGCACTTTGGGAGGCCAAGGTGGGGCAGATCAACTGAGGTCAGGAGTTCAAGACCAGCCTGGCCAACCTGGTGACGGCCTGTCTCTACTAAAAATACAAAAATTAGCCAGGTGTCTTGATGTGCACCTGTAGTTCCAGCTACTCGGGAGCCTGAGGCAGGAGTATTGCTTGAACCTGGGAAGCAGAGGTTGCAGTACGCTAAGATCATGCCACTGCACGCCAGCCTGGACGACAAGAGTGAAACTCTGTCTCAAACAAAAATAAAAAATAAAAATTTAACTGTGGTAAGATAACCATAAAGTTTACCACCTTAACCCTTTTTCAGTGAACAGTTCAACGACACTAGGTATAATCATATCACTGTGCTACCATCACCATCTATCCACAGAACTCTTCATCTTGTAAACTGAGACTCTATACCCATTAAACAATGATTTTTCATTTCCCTCCCCCTAGCCCCTGGCAACCACCGTTCTACTTTCTGACTCTATTGAGTCTAATAGTCTGATATAAGCAGAATAGTATTTTTCTTTTTGTAACTGGCTTATTTCACTTAGCATAATATCCTCAGTATTTATACATGTTGTAACATGTCAGAATTCCCTTCCTTTTTAAAGCTGAATAATAAAACTGAACAAAAATTTAAATTAGAAATGTAAGACACTGCTGGGCATGGTGGCTCAAGCCTGTAATCCCAGCACTTTGGGAGGCCGAGGTGGGTGGATCACGAGGTCAAGAGATCGAGACCATCCTGGTCAACATGGTGAAACCCCGTCTCTATTAAAAATACAAAAATTAGCTGGGCATGGTGGTGCATGCCTGTAGTCCCAGCTACTCGGGAGGCTGAGGCAGGAGAATTGCTTGAACCCAGGAGACGGAGGTTGCGGTGAGCCGAGATCGCACCATTGCACTCCAGCCTGGATAACAAGAGTGAAACTCCAACTCAAAAAAAGAAATGTAAGACATTTTTATTCACTGCAAAGGTAGCTAGTCTTTTAGCGAATTTCAAGATTTACTTCCCATAGCCAACAGACCAGTAAAAGGCTCATCCTAACTGCACTACTGATAGACTGTTTCTTTTTATAACCAAGCAATATTCTGTTGTATCTATATACCACATTTATTATCCACTTATCAGTTAATAGACATGTGGGTTATTTCCATTTTTGCCTGTTATAACAATATTACTATGACCATTTGTGTATATGTCTTTGTGTTGACATATGTTTTATTTCTCAAGCATATATGGAGGAGTAGAATTACTGGGTGGTATTTAATCTTTTAAAGAACTACCGAACTGTTGCCCAAAATCACCAGACTATTTTAGATTTCCAACAGCAGTATATGAGGATTCTAGTTTCTTCCCATTCTCACCAACATCTGTTATTGTCTATCTTCTTAATTATAGCCATTCTAGTAGGTATAAAGTGGTATCTATTGTGGTTTTAATTTGCATTTCCCTGATGGCTAATGATGTTGAGTATCTTTTCATGTGTTTATTGACCATTTTTACATTTTCTTTGGAGAACTATACATTCAGATCCTTTGATCAGTTTTCTAATTAAATGTTAAATGTTGACTTTTTAACAGGTTGTTTTGGAAGACATTTGTGCCTTTTAGCAACTGACTTCTAGTGTAAACTGAACCTTTTTGTAAGTACCCATAGTCTGGTTTAACATATTTAAACCATCAGAAACGATGATGTGTGTGCTGAATGATAAGATGATGAAACACATCTGTTATACTTTATATTGGATTCAGAGTAAGAAAATACTGATTTGAAGTTAGGAGGGGAAATATAAGAGTTTCCTTTTTTTAGCCGGGCGCGGTGGCTCAAGCCTGTAATCCCAGCACTTTGGGAGGCCGAGGCAGGTGGATCACAAGGTCAAGAGATCAAGACCATCCTGGTAAACATGGTGAAACCCCATCTCTACTAAAAATCCAAAAAAATTAGCTGGGCATGGTGGCGCGTGCCTGTAATCCCAGCTACTCAGGAGGCTGAGGCAGGAGAATTGCCTGAACCCAGGAGGCGGAGGTTGCGGTGAGCCGAGATCGCGCCATTGCACTCCAGCCTGGGTAACAAGAGCGAAACTCCATCTCAAAAAAGAATTATGCTGCTGCTCTGGTCAACAACTATTACATATTCTTTCTTTTGGCTCCTGGTGCCTCTGAGAAAAAAGAAAAGCAGCAGAAAAGGCAACCTAATTATGGTGGTAACTGTGGGCAGAAAAAAATCCCAGCAAAGGCAAGCTAAAGCCTGCTGTAAGAGCAGGAAGATATGTCTACTTTCCCAGGAGTGTGCAAGTCATAGGCTGTGGCTGGGCTTTGACATCTGGGAAAATCAGCCAAGCAGTAAAGTCATGAATATGCCCAGTGAAAGTTCTGACTCAGTTAAAAGCTTGAGGACAAGGTGTAAAAATTGTTCTCCTCTTCTCAAACTGAAGGATAATGTCAAGGTCATATTAGTGACTAATAATTAAAGATGCTAAGGAAACTGGGTGTTTGTTTCTTTAAAACTACTTAATATTCTTGTTGCAGTGTTTTAATCAAGTTTCACTTTTGCAAAAACAAGAAAACCAAAAATAACTTAGTAGGGAAATATGCTAAACTCATTCAATGAACCACATCTCTAAGACTACCTGAAGAGATGGCTGAGCCCTAACCAAGGGGCTTTAATGGCTACTGTTCCTAAGAAGCCCGATGTGTTACCTTAAATCTATCAAGCGGGACGCATCTCAGACACTGAAGAAATACTTGCATTTCTGCCAATATCCGAAATCTCTTTTTCTTTAAAATTAATAAAATACAGCACTTGCCAACAAAGGAATAATGTACAAGGTTGTATCACGCAAATCTACAGGTTTCTGTACAGCAGAGTGAAACATATTAATTAAATTTTTGTAGACAAGTATATTACAGCCATGAAGTCTTATTGAAATAATTTTTTAAAAAATTTTTACTTTATCATAAATAAATGCCAAAAGGTCAGGCTGTAAAAGGCCAACCTAAAAAGTCTGAAGGGAAGAATTTGGCCTATCGACCAACTTTTTATTTATTTATTTATTTATTTATTTTTAGGTCTTAGGATTAACCAATTTTTTAATAATAAAAAGCACTATTACTGATATTTCCCACTAAAAGCTATATGTGATACAGAATTAGACTGTAATACTCTCAATTCATTTTACTTTTGAAAAGATTGATAATGCAGCCACCTAAAGGAATCCATGACTTTGCAACATAGAGAAATGCACATACTTTCCTCTGGGTCTTCACCAGCAAGGATGCTGTTGGAAAGTTCCTGGACAGCAGCCCGTGACTCAGGTGTAGAGCGATGAGGCCCTAGATGACTGTCCCTCTGGGCTTCCCATTCCTCACTGAAGCCGCCATCATCATTCTCTGCAACAGTGTCTTGTGATTCCCTTTCTGTGTCTTCAAGAGAAAGTGAAAGTTACAGCTCTAATATTTAGAAAAACTTAATACCTTTAAGAAAATTACATGGAAAGAATAACTAGCTGACTGTCACTGTAACTAGCAGGCCCTTAAACCACAAAGCACAGGCTGTACCAGTGCCTGCTGGTGGTTTACCCAACAGCGATTTTTCCCCTTATTTCCTGAGGGCAGAATCCTGAATTGTTTGGGTTTCCACCCTTCTCCCACATGACTCTGAGGGTAAATCCTGACCAATCCAAGCCAAGCACAGTAATCCCACCACCATACATCTTCCTAACGAAAGCTCTAAGGCTGTGAGGTTGTGATTTGGTATGAACCAATGAGTGGAAAAGCAAAGTCTGCTAGGATACCTGGGAAATTTTTCTCACTCTTTAAGAGAGACTAAAGGAAAAAATAAACAGTCCCCTTCTTCCCTTGACTGTTGCCTTATCTAGATATGATGCCTAGAACTACAGCTGTCCTGACCACGAGGAGCAGTGGGCTGAAGACCAAGCCTATACACTAGTGATGGTAGAGTACGAAGCTGGGCTACTTGAAAACATCCATGAGCCACCAAATTAACCAACCCTACAAATTTCAAATGTCTACACCTCAGGCATTCCTGTCACATCAAATAATACATTTCTTCTTTGTTTAAGGCAACTGAGTTGGGCTTTTTATCTTTTGCAACTGAAAAGATTCCTAACTGTTGGCACTCACTTTTGGATTTAGTAACAAAGTTATAAAAAGTGGCTTCATTCTGGAGGGTGGATTGGGAAAGGAGGGGGAGTCTTTATGGGTCAGTTATTTTGTTATAATGATATCAATCTGATTGAAAATGGTGAGCACAACAGTCTGAAAAACTTCCATACATTAAGAATAATTAAAATATATAAATAATATTCAAAATACTTTTATTCTTCCTTCATTTTTTATAAAAGTAATACATACTCAGAGCAGAAGTAGATTTACCATGAATAAGTAAAGCTTCCTTGCATGGCTTCCTCTGGGAGAGCCCTCACAATTTGGTATTGGTAGTTTTATATTCTTTTTATTAACCAGGTCTCCACAAAACCTGAATCACCTCTAGTTTGGCATTTATAAAATCATGTAAGAATAAGATTTATAGGCCAGGCATGGTGGCTCACGCCTGTAATCCCAGCACTTTGGGAGGCTGAGGAGGCAGATCACCTGAGGTCAGGAGTTCAAGACCAGCCTGCCCAACATGGTGAAACCCCATCTCTACAAAAAAAAAAAAAAAAAATTAAGATTTATAAATGCAAACAGCAGTGCCTGTTCTGCCCCCTCCTTCCTCACTCATTCCTACTTTAAACTCTTTTAGTCATTTCTTTTGGTATTTACCTCCATAATTAATTATAAGTAGCATGCTCCTTGAGGCATAACTTGATGTTTTAATTTTGGGTACTTATTCACCTCCTATAGAGAGGATAAAGCATTAGGTCTCATCCTCTTATGCATGTGTACAGATTTAACTCTTCCTGTCTTCCCAACGCCATAACCTTATGTTAAATTCAGTTTTATATTCTCACTATGCAAATAGTATTCATAACTAAACTACTCTGCTATAGCCAGAATATACTATAATTACGTTTGCTTTCTTGAACAAGTTTTTGTTTTCTTTGGAAAACTGCCTCATTTTTTTCCATTGATGAATTTTATATTATTATCTATGACTAATTTATCCTCAAATGCTCTGACAGTTCAACCACATCAGGTAATCTCTCAGTTCTTTGTTTTTTTTCTTGCACAGACATCCCTCCTGTAGCCCTACGCCCTTTTGTTCCAATATAACTTCTAGTTCCATTAACACAGTGATTGTCAATTAGGGATAGCACCGCCCTTCCAGCGGGTGTTTGGAAATAACTAGGGTAGAGGACTTTTTTATTATCACAAGGCCTCAAAGCCATTATTGGCATTTAGTGGGTGAGGGGCAAGGAATGTTAAATATCTTGTAACGTGTGGGGAAGTCCCACAGAATGAAGAACTGTGCCCCCCAAGTTCCTCAGTGAGAGCAGCAATCTCACTGAGGAAGGCTGCAGTTCATCCAGGCTTCTCATTTCAAAGCCCTTGCTCATGTTGTCCCTCTCTTGGAAAGCTCTTCCTCTACCCTTCAGCTGGCCATCACCTATTATCACTTCTTCAGGGAAGCACCCCTTGACTTTCCAGGATACCTAAGATTCCCCTATTACAAACTTTCATAGCAATTTACAAGTCTTCTTCGCAACACCTATCACAACTGTATGAATTATTTATGTAATAATTTCTTGAACTTCTAGCTCCCCAAATAGACTATATATAAGCTCCACAAGGGAAGGGGAATCTTGTTCAGTGCTATATCCCCAGGGTCTAGCACAGATTCAGGTGCTCAGCCAACATCTGTCAAAGGAATGAAATCTTGATATATCACTCATACTCATATATATCTATATATATCTATATCTATATCTATAGATATATATCCCTTCATGCTCACAGACAACCATTTTGATTTTCTTTAGCTTAACACAGGTTAACACAAGAACCAGGCTATGGCAATTCTTTCCAGTATATTTCTTACTTTTCTATCAGGTTTACTAGTGGTCCTGATGGCAGCAGTGGCCCATCTGGAGTGGCCGCTGCAAAAATGCCAGCTGCAGCAGGGGAGGCGCAGCTAGGGCTGCACGCTCTGCAAGCTGGCGGGAGCCAGGAACAGGCAAGAGCCCTGCCCTCTTCCGAGCTGGTGGGACAGAAGCCCTGCACTCCCACAGCTGCAGCTTCCCAGCTGTGGCTGTAGACCTGGGCATCCCTGTGCTCTCAGGGGTCCAGGAAATCTTTCCCCTGCAGGTTGAATGTGCCTGCTCTCACTGTCTGGCCTCTCCTACCCTGTGTCTGCTCGGATTTCAAAGCAAAGTTGTGGCCAAGTCTGGGTGCTGTCATGACCTGGCTGGGTATGCACGTGCTTGGGGTGGCACTGACATGCCAGACCCCTGCCACCTCAGCCTCCTCTGGACTTTGGGTGCCAATAAGCATGGGAGAGTGGCTGCAGAGGGGCTGAAGGCAGCTTGCTGCAAGCACCCTTCTGCATGAACGTCCTGGGTGCCATGGGAGCCATGGAGGGAGCAGGCTGATGGCAGCAGAAGGCAGACAGGCTCCTAGGTGGAAAGGGGAAGGTCCCCAGTGAAGCCCCACCTTCAAGGCAGGGACAGCCTGAAGCCTGGGGGCCAAGCTGCCAGTTCCACAGACCAGAGTGAGAACTTACGGTGCTTTTTCTGGGCCTGCTCGTGGCCGCCCATGGACCAATCAGCACATACTTCCCCTCCTCAGAAGCCCATAAAAACCTGAGACTCAGTCAAACTCAGGCAGACGACGGGACAACCTGCATGCAGATAGGCATTACCCACTTCAGATCTCCTGAGTTGTACTGTTGCTGAATAAAGCATCTCTTCATCTTGCTCTCCCTCCAGCTGTCCATGTACTTTTTTCTTCCTGGACATGGGACAATAACTTGGGACCCACTAAATGGAAGGACTGAAAGGACAGTGACACAAACACGGCTGAAACATGCCCCTCACTTGCCATATTGCAGGTGTCGAGAAGGACAGAAGAGAGGAGTAAAGAGCTGTGGCCCTCTGGGGAGCCCATACTCAGGAGTTCCCTAAGCTAGGGCTGTGACACCCTCTTTGGGGTTCTGCAGTTCCTGGCATCTCCAGCTTCTGAGTGCCACTGCATTCCCCAGTGCCTGTAGTGGGAGCCGCTTAGGGAATGCCTGGTCTAGCTGCAACAGGGAGCTGATACCTGGAGCTGCTTACCCTGCCATAGCCAGCATGCCTGGCTGTGCTCAGTGGCCAGACCCTGCACTCACTCACTCACATACTCCTCACTGTTCCATACCTGGCTTGCCTTTGGCAGGCGTGGGGTCCAGCTAGTAGTGAAAGCCAAGCACAGCCAGCCAAGATGGTAGGTAGAATGAGCCCAGTGGGCCTACGCAAATCTCAGGCAAAGGTGCCACTGGCCACAGAGGTTTCTGGCTAGCAAAGTGACACCCTAAGAATCCTGTGACAATCTAACATCACCTTGTTCTGCTGCCTTGCTTACTATGGAATAAAGACTGGTATCTTTGAGTTCCAAATAGAAATTCCTGGTGGAAAGTATCTTCCCTGCAGTTGCCCAAATGCTAATTCTATAGTTTTCCTGGCTTTATAGAACATAAACTCCCTTTCCTGAAAAAACAGCAACTCAATTAAGTCCTTTTTTTCCTCACCAATATTTATTGTGCCTGTTTTTCAGATTCCTCATAAAGTTAGCCCTTTTCTGGTTTTCTTTAAAAAAAATAATAAGCTTCCTTTTTTTTTTTTTAACTATTTATACTGTGCTATTTATTATTCCTCAACTCCCTTTTTTTTTTTTTTTGAGACGGAGTTTCGTTCTTGTTACCCAGGCTGGAGTGCAATGGCGCGATCTCAGCTCACCGCAACCTCTGCCTCCCAGGTTCAGGCAATTCTCCTGCCTCAGCCTCCTGAGTAGCTGGGATTACAGGCACACACCACCATGCCCAGCTAATTTTTTGTATTTTTAGTAGAGATGGGGTTTCACCATGTTGACCAGGATGGTCTCGATCTCTTGACCTCATGATCCACCCGCCTCAGCCTCCCAAAGTGCTGGGATTACAGGCTTGAGCCACCGCACCCGGCTCCTCAACTTTTTTTGTGTGTGTGGGAGGGTAGCTTCTATTCCAGAAAACTAAATGAAAGCTCCCCATCAACTCCATCTAATAACTTTTTTTTTTGAGACGGAGTTTCGCTCTTGTTACCCAGGCTGGAGTGCAATGGCATGATCTCGGCTCACCGCAACCTCCGCCTCCTGGGTTCAGGCAATTCTCCTGCCTCAACCTCCTGAGTAGCTGGGATTACAGGCACGCCCCACCATGCCTAGCTAATTCTTTGTATTTTTAGTAGAGACGGGGTTTCACCATGTTGACCAGGATGGTTTCAATCTCTTGACCTCGTGATCCACCCGCCTTGGCCTCCCAAAGTGCTGGGATTACAGGCTTGAGCCACCACGTCCGGCCCTATAACAACTTTTAACTTGTGTTCTCCTTAATATGTTCTGTAGTATCCATAGAGGGCCTTTCAGTCTCTCATTCTAAGTCATTATTACTTTTTTTTTTGAGACAAGGTCTCACTAAGTTGCCCAGGCTAATCTGGAACTCCTTGCCCGCCCACAGAGCTGAGCCTATAGGCACACACCACTGCACCCAGCTCATCCTAAGTCATTCTTATCCTCTTCTAGAAAGTCATATCCACCTAGAATGTTTGATCTTCTCAATATAAACATCAGTACATCTCAAATTATATTTCAGTTACTCTGGGCATGTAAGAAGAGAAGTTCTCATTTTTATGTTGTTTATATTTTGCTTTGTTTACTGATTTTTTCTTTATTGTCTCTTTTTTTTTTTTTTTTTGAGACGGAGTTTCGCTCTTGTTACCCAGGCTGGAGTGCAATGGCGCAATCTCGGCTCACCGCAACCTCCGCCTCCCGGGTTCAGGCAATTCTCCTGCCTCAGCCTTCTGAGTAGCTGGGATTACAGGCACGCGTCACCATGCCCAGCTAATTTTTGTATTTTTAGTAGAGACAGGGTTTCACCATGTTGACCAGGGTGGTCTTGATCTCTTGACCTTGTGATCCACCCGCCTCGGCCTCCCAAAGTGCTAGGACTACAGGCTTGAGCCACCGTGCCCGGCTATTGTCTGTTTCTTTTTTGCTTGTTTCTTTTAGGAGATTCTTACTTTTACATGTTTGGAGAGTGTTTACTTTTTCTTTTTAAAATCATGATCTTTAAAAAATAAACAAAAACAACATCATAACCTCAATCTGAACCTTTCAATATTGGTATTCTGTATTTAATGGGAGATGTCTTAACCTAGGGTGCCTTGACTGTATTGTTGGGTTTCGAATATCTTAAAGTTTATCTGTGTATTTACTGGGCATCACCATAGTTTTGAAGAGATTCTTAAGGGAGTCTATGACCAAAGAGAGATGATAAAATCATTGCTACAATGTTAACTTGTAAGGTGACAGTGACCCTGAAAAACCAAGATATTATCAAATTAAAGTTACCTACTTTCTGCATTATACTTGGAGTTTTTGGATACCCTCCTTTGAGCTTCCGGGTCTCCTTCAGCCATATTCACCAACCACACCATTGTTGCTGTTGAGAAAGACAAAATTCCAGGTAAGCACTGAACACACAAAGGAAAACGTATGCACAGACAGCAGCAGGCCATCATTTCTCCACACAAATCACCAATCTTCCTAATGCTGCCTTAAGACTGTTTAACAATCAGAAGTAAAAATGATAGGGAGGCGAGGGTCCAGCCTCGTTCACAGTGGGCGAGGCTCCGGGAGCTCAGCAAGGCTGCAGGCACCTGCGTCCACCAGCGAGCAGGACTGGCTGCTCTGGCTTGGGATCCCTAGGCAGGACTGCCATCCTCTCCAGAATGAAGACCTTGCTGGTGCTGCCGGCTGCCCTTCTGGGTGTTGAGCGAGCCGGCTCGCTGATGTGCGTCTCCTGCCTAAACCAGAAGAGCAATCTGTACTGCCTGAAGCCCACCATCTGCTCCAACCAGGACAACTACTGCCTGACTGTGACTGCGTCCGCCGGCATCGGAAAGTCCTGAGCAAGTCCTGTTCCCTCCCAGGAAACATCAATACTGGTAATAGCTTCCATGGGCATCTGCTGCTGCCAGGGTTTCCTGTGCAATTTCAGCACGGCTGACGGCAGGCTGTGGGCCAGCCCCACCCTGCTGGGTGCCGGACTGCTGCTGAGGCTGTTGCCTGCCCTGCTGCATTTCGTCCCCTGACCCCCCAGACCCTGTCCCCAGCCCCCTAGCTCAGGAAGCAAAGCCCAGCCCTTTCTGGATCCCACAAGGGTATGAGAGCCCCTGACTCCTCACATGCCTGATTCGTTCCCTTGGTCCCAGGTCAGGCCCGCCCCCTGCACCTCCATCTGCCCCAGTCTGCCTCTGCCCCAGGTGGGGCCACCTGCCCTCACTTCTGGGGTCGATGATGTGACTTTCCTTGGGGGACTGTGGAAGGGATGAGGGTTGCCTGGAGTCTTAGGGTCCAGCGTCAGGACCAAGTCCCATGGACACACTCAGAGGGTCCCTAGGGAGGCTGTGCCAGTAGGGATGTGTGCCTGTGGGGGTATGCGGGTGTGCTGTGCAGGTGTGAGCACCGTGGGTTTCTGGGGCCTGTGTTTGGGGAGGGAGGGGTGCCAGCAGCCTGCAGAGCCCCAGTCCCCTATAATCCCCTGCCCTGGCACAGTCTCAAGCCCTGCAAGGGCAGCCTTTTGGGGGTGGGGTTTCCACCACTTCCAGGTCTAGGCCCCCGCCCCAAATCCAGCCAGCCCTGCCCCAGCCCCAGCCCACCCCCACACTGGAGTCCTACTGCTTTGGTGCCTCAAATAAATACAAATGTCCCCCCACCCCGCCACCACCAAAAATACAGTAAAAATAATAAAAGGTTCTCTTTGGTTTTAGCAGATAAAATAAAAACTTCTGAAACTGAATGTTTACTGTAGTGCTCAAACTGCATTTGCTATCACAAAACTGTTCATCATCATATTTAGACCCTGAAAAGTAACCAGAAGGAAAACTGCTCAGGCCAGCAAGATTCCACTGAAACAACAGTGGGACTAGCTGAATGTTCTAAACTCCAGGACAAACTGGAGCTCACAAAAGCCTCAGATGGAAATTATAATTCAAAAGATTCACGGAATAAATTTCCTTCATATTATGTCTCACTTTTAGAATGTTCAATAATGCTAAGCCATGTTTTAAACAAGGAGTAAGAAAAAAAGTTAAAAGCAGTAAACATAATAGGGATAGTCAAGTGGCCTCCTCTGTGTCCCTTCTATAAAGATACATGTATATCAATGTATCAATCTAGATCTAGATACACACGTGTGCATCTCTACCATATTTTAGCTCAGAGACCATGTGAAAACTTTAAAATGGTGCTTTTCTCTTACATATTTCAGCAGGACTGAAAAATTGTATAATCACCATTGGAGGGAAATTTAGTAACATCAAATAAAACTACACATGCAATAACCCTTTAATCTGGCAGTAATACATTTTGGAACTTATCCTGAAGATACATCAACAATAACACAATAATAAAGTACATATAAGCAAAGATATGCCATATGGGACTATGGTGGGAACCAAATGCCAGCAGCAATCTCAGTCAAATCTGTTTATAGTAATTTTTTTTTTTTTTTTTTTGAGACGGAGTTTCGCTCTTGTTACCAAGGCTGGAGTGCAATGGCGCGATCACGGCTCACCGCCACCTCCGCCTCCTGGGTTCAGGCAATTCTCCTGCCTTAGCCTCCTGAGAAGCTGGGATTACAGGCGTCCGCCACCATGCCCAGCTAATTTTTTTGTATTTTTAGTAGAGACGGGGTTTCACCATGTTGACTGGGATGGGCTCGATCTCTTGACCTCGTGATCTACCCGCCTCGGCCTCCCAAAGTGCTGGGATTACAGGTTTGAGCCACCGCGCCCGGCCCTGTTTATAGTAATTTTAAACAAGATACTTGGCATTTATGTTCCTCTGGCCTTTTATCACTATAATTTTATCCATGTTTCTAATACTCAGGCTTCCTGAAGAACTTATGAAAGAAATGCACAAGCAAAGAAGCTGAACCACCGCCTTGTTATTTCTGAGGTCAACCAAGTTTCATTATAGAATAACCCAACCAAATGATCCAAAGTTAACAGAAACAAGACAGGGAAAACATTGTTTAAATCCAGATCGAAAGAAGAAAAACTGAAGGGCAACCACCATGTATGAGGTTTATGGATTTGTATTTTTATTTTTTGTACAAACAGGGTCTCACTATGTTGCCCAAGCTGGACTAAAACTCATGGGCTCAAGCAATCCTCCCGCCTCGGCCTCCCAAAGTGCTAGGATTACAGGCATGAGCCACTGCACCCAACCTGTTTATGAATTTCTAGTCTTCTGGAAATGAAGGCAGCAGCTATTTATTTGTTTTTCTTTCTTTATGCAAGTATGAAAAAAATCTAGCTGTAAGCCCTTTTGTTTTAGCATTTAATAGTATCATGAAAATCAACATTTTCTGTAAATGGCCAGCCAGTAAACAATTCAGGTTTTGTGTGTCACATATTCTTGTTTTTTTGTTTTGTTTTTAAACAACCTTTTAAAAATGTAAAAAGCATTCTTAGCTTAGAAGCTATAAAAAAACAGGCCATGGGCCACATTTGGTTTCAAGCAGTAGTTTGCTGACCACATGGTAATTATCATAAATAGTATATTTGTTGAATAAATAGTACTAAAATAATCTTTTTTTTGAGATCAAGTGTCGCTCTGTCACCCAGGCTGGAGTGCATTAGTGGCTCACTGCAACCTCTGCCTCCTGGGTTCAAGCGATTCTCCTGCCTCAGCCTCCCAAGCAGCTGAGACTACAGGTACATACCACCACACCCAGCTAATTTTTTGTATTTTTAGTAGACACAGGGTTTCACTGTGTTAGCCAGGATGGTCACGATCTCCTGACCTTGTGATCCACCCGCCTCAGCCTCCTAAAGTGCTGGGAATACAGGTATCAGCCTCGGTGCCCAGCCCCTAACATAATATTTTTAAAAATCACTTTTCTTTCACTTTAACACCAAACACCTTATATCAGTAGAAAAATAAGCAGATTTTTTTTTTAAGTTAAAAAAAAAAAAGGCTGGGCATAGTGGCTTGCGCCTGTAATCCCAACACTTTGGGAGGCCAAGGCAGGTGGATCACCTGAGGTTGGGAGTTCAAGACCAGCCTGACCAACATGGCAAAACCCTGTCTCTACTAAAAATACAAAAATTAACTGGGTATGGTGGCAGGTGCCTGTAATCCCAGCTACTCAAGAGGCTGAGGCAGGAGAATAGCTTAAACCCAGGAGGCAGAGGTTGCAGTGAGCCAAGATTGTGCCACTGCCTTCCAGCCTGGGCAGTAAGAGCAAAACTCTGTCTCAAAAAAATAATTCTTTTTTTTACTTTTAATGTAGCCTAGGCTGATCTTGAACTGCTGGGCTCAAGCAATCCTCCTGCCTCTACCTCCCAAAGTCCTGGGATTACAGGCATACTGGCTGTAAAATATTGCAGATTTAAAAATTAATACAACCTTGAACTGAGACAAAATCGAAGAAAAGGCTTTAGGTAAAATGATCTATCTCGGCCAGGCACGGTGGCTCACGCCTATAATCCTAGCGCTTTGGGAGACTGAGGCAAGTGGATGATGAGGTTAAGAGATCGAGACCATCCTGGTCAACATGGTCAAACCCTGTCTCTACTAAAAATACAAAATTTAGCTGGGCATGGTGGCACGTGCCTGTAATCCCAGCTACTCGGGAGGCTGAGGCAGAAGTGCTTGAACCCAGGAGGCGGAGGTTGTGGTAAGCTGAGATTGCGCCATTGCACTCCTGCCTGGCTAACAAGAGCAAAACTCCACCTCAAAAAAAAAAAAAAAAAAAAAAGATCTATCTCAGGAATTGTTATTTTCCCTTCTAGTTAAGCTCCCAGAATGAACCACCTCTACCAATGACTACAAGGGAAGAATGAATTAGTTCAAGAGTAGGTGTCTATTTTTTGTCAAACGACAGAAGTAGAAACCAAAAATGCTCATACATTTCCTGTTAGTAAGAGTATTTTGCAAACTGAATACCTTAACTGGGAAACAGTATTAAAATCCATAAAAGAATAATATTTATTGATTTTTAGAAACCAATAGCCAGGATGACTGATTTAAAACTTTTCATATTCATGTTTATATCCACTTCAGGGAAAAAGGTACTGATTGGTATTGCCGTTTTCTTACATTCTGTTAAATAACAAAACAAAGTCTGGGTGCAGTGGCTCATGCCTATAATTCCAGCAATGTGGGAGGCTGAGGCAGTCAGATCACTTGAGGTCAGGAGTCCAAGACCAGCCTGGCCAACATGTTGAAACTCCATCTCTACTACAAATACAAAAAGAAAACCTGCCAGGCATGGTGGCAGGCATCTGTAATCTCAGCTATTTGGGAGGCTGAGGCAAGAGAATCACTTGAACCCAGAAAGCAGAGGTTGCAGTGAGCTGAGATCACGCCACTGCACTCTAGTCTGAGCAGTAAGAGTGAAACTCCGTCTCAAAAAAACAAAACAAAACCTCT